GGTTTAAATCATATAAAACACATCAAAAATTATATATCTATATCTATTTATCGATACTACTAATTAAAGGAAGTTAAATGAAAAACTTTTGAATTCCTAAATTACCCGTAACCAATTTTTTAAAGTCATATGTATACTCTCTATCTATAGTAAAACATTAAAATGCTTGTTCCCCATCCCTTTCCAGCAAATAATCCCAAAATCCATACCAACGTACCCCCTCTCCCCAAGGCCTAACTCCCACCGTTACAGCCAAATTCCATCCCCACATAGCATATTTGAATCAGTAGGTGTCCCTGATGGCACACAGCTCCCGAATCCCTACATATCCGTCCAGGTCTGCCTTGGGGGCATCCACGTCAGTGGCATTGGCAATGGCTTCGTAGTGGCGTTGGCGGTGGCTTCGTTCAGTGTAAGATGAAAGGGCATCCCTCTCCAGCAACTAATACAGAACGTCTCACTCCGCAATGAAGAGACCAATTACCAAGTTCCATAATTGCTGCCCTTACTCTTTCTGCCTCTGTGCATTCTGGGTGCAACGCCTATATCAGCAATCAATTTGGGTCATAGCAATTCCAGTACTCCCAATTGGAATTTGATTCACTCTCTCCATTGGAAGCACACACTTCGTCTACCTTTATATTTCGGGCCGAGCTCTGGATTTCTTGATATTGTTCTTCCACGTGTATGGTTTTTGATGTCTAGCTGCTCCTTAGTTCTGGACATCACTCAGGTTGGACTCTCTCCTTCTCTGATCTTTTGTTGTTTTACCTAACTTTGATGGTATTTGGGTTGTGGGTGTGACTGTGTGTTCAAACACGTACATTTACTCGGTTGTTGATTTTGAACCTCTTCTTCATTATGTTCTTGAATTGGTTTGTCTTTTAAACTTGGTGCATTGTTTTGGAGGTTTTCATTCTTGTACTTCTATTATAACTTTGAAACAATATGTCTATTAAATTGGTGTTCTCTTTGTGTGTACAATAAAGAAGACAATAAACAGGAAATTGATGCAACCACAACCCTCAACCCAACCTCCGACAACCCACCACTTTTAAAATCAAAAATTAGTTTTGATTTTTGATAAAATGAAATTGTCCTCTTTACAATTTATCGAGTAATAAGGTTCCAAAAAAGGGGTAAAAATAAAAACATGACCCATATAAGTTCACAGTGATCGTTCAACTTACAGTAAACCATTATTACAGGCGAGAAGAGAAACTATTAGAGTTGCTGAATTCATGTGGAGGCCATAGTCATACAATAGGACAAATGTTTTTTTCTATTTCAAGGAATAAGACCATCTCAGATTCTCACAATATATAAAGAATATAGTAAGCAATAAGCAGAGTGACTTTAATAGACAAATTATTCTACTCCTATCAAGCATTAGATGAGTTAATGAACAAATATTGAAGTGAACCTTCAAGAAACGAAATTAAAATGTTAAAAAATGCTCAATTATCTTTGTACAATTATTATAATAGATTGAACTCATTTAAATCGAACTTAATTTGTATAGATGTATATGCTTATGTAGGCAGATTAAAACTAAATTAATTGAATAGCCAAATGGGCTACGTGAATAATATTGGCGTTGAATTGGAGTTAGAGTTGAGATAGGGAAAAGGTGAACATGGGACATAGGCAAATTTTAAATTGTCCAGTGGATGATTTTATCCATGGGTTAATTTGGAGATGAACAATGGATGATTACCATGTTTTAAATTCTGATGAAGTCATCTTTCTTGTCAATTGTCATGCATGCAACACAATGCTCAACCTTAAAAGTTTTCAATGAAAAAACTGGACTTGGATGTGTTATTCAAATTTTATGAATTGATCAAAAAAGTACCAAAACTTATATTTAAAGAAGAAAGTTAAATGAGGTAAACATCCAAATCCCGAAATGTTCTTTGAATATAAGAACAGAAATGGAGAAGGAACAGACTCACAACACCCATTTGATTTGCCACTGGAAAGAAAAAGGAAATTGCAATACAGTCTTTGGCATTTGAAGAGCTTAGGATGAAGCTGGATTTGAAATAGGCAGCAGTAAAATGAACCAGAACCACCCTAGAAAACAAATATATATAGCAGCAGCATATGAAGAGGCCAAATCTAGAAAGCTGGTAATCATGGGCCATGGCTCTATTGAAGTTAGGACACCAAAGATGAATTGTTATGACACTAAGAGAGATAAATTGCATTTGTACTAATACAGATTGCTTCAGTAATGGAAGATTTAATAATATTTCTTGTGTGAGTATACCAATTTTATTGGAATTAATTTTTACGTTGACTCAAATTATGTGGTTATGATGTACTTGAGATGCACTTCAAAAAAATATTTTTTCATTGGACGAATGGAATTGAAGAATAAATAAAAAAAATTTTGAGTCTGTCATATAGTTGTAATCTTATGGCATAAATAGTTAGGTAAATAACCTTTTTATCTCTCCTTTTTTTCTGATTTTAAATTTTGTCATTTAATAAAAAGTACATCTAGCAACAAAAAATCAAATTTTATTTTTAATTTTTGAACATAATTTTTAACAATAAAAACAAAAAATTAAAAAGCTAAATTACAATAAAATATGTTTCCTAGAAAAATGTTCAAGTCACTCTCATGCCAAATATGCTTAAAAGATAATAAAGCAATGGAATTCATGTGTTTTAATTATAAATGGCTTTAGGACTTGGTTGCTATTGATATAGAATGCTTAGTCAATTTATTATTTTTAAAGTGTTCTAGCTAGGGTTAGTAATAAATCATATCATGTCAAAATTTTATTATGAACCATTACCCAAAACATTTAACATTAGTTGAATATCTTTTGTTTTGGTTGATTTTTCTAAGTTTTTTCAATTTATGTGACTTGCCACTTTCTTTTCCTCTCCTCAAAACTAATATTTACTTAGTTGGTTTATTTATAAATATTTGTTGCTAATATTATAATGTAATATATTCTACAATTAGGTGTCTTTAAAGGTAATATGATTTTTTTGTTAATTTAGTGTATGGTATGTCAATTCAAAATTATTTGTTAGCAAATCATTTCATACTCTGTGCAGTAGCTTATTAATCTAGGAAGCTTTGATAGAAAAAAGTATGGTTTTCCATATTGGCTCTAGATTGGGATTTGTTGTGTGTGTGTGTGTGTTGTTTTTAATAAATGTGTGTTTTGGACCATCACGATATTGCAAAATTATAGGCATTTGGTTAGAATAATGTCATACACCTTGTATTTTTTTGTTATATCATTGCACCTCTACTTTGAAAGGGGAAAGAAATGTACAATGTCATTTGTATTATTTTGCTTCACATGGTTTTTTTAATCCTCACTAATTAAAATTTTGTAATCTGAAATATTTGCCTTTTATTTCGCATTATTTATTGGTAATGTGTTGTTTGTGATCATATAGAAGTATGAATTTGAGAAGGGATAGGCATTTGAACGCTTGCGGTTAAACAATGACATATTGATGTTTCTTTTCAAATAATTTGTTTCCAAGAAGCATAAGGCATACTAGAGTTCACATTAATACCAAACTGGTTGTGATTTTGTGTTAGTTGTTTTTTGTGTTTGTTTTTCTCTATTGTTTCACTAATTTAGTGATGGTTTTAGTTATTTGATCACATTTTCACTCCCTATTCGAACGAACTATATTTGTATGATAATTTTATATTAGACATACTATGAATAAATAAAGGATAAAAAATCATAGAAAGTATAATCTTTATGAGTTCAGCGGACAGAGAGCAAACCCACGATACCACTTCAAGAGGTACTAATTTATGAATCCAATGGTTTTTCGTTCCAATTATGTTCCTTACATAATATTTTCACATTACAATTGTATGTGTTTTTTTGGGGGATGAATTATAGAATACCATAAATATTGCAACTAAAATTGTGAGGTGCACATTAAATAATTTATTTGCCTTTGTTTACCTATGCTATTGCATGATGTTGGTAAAAATACCTATTTTTATGCTTATGTTGTGTCATGTTTACTTCCATAAATGCTGAAAAATGGGCTTAGATCTGAATTTGGGTTTGTTTTGTTGCTGTCAAGTAAACATTATGTGTATATTTATGGCACTTATGTTTTATTTCTTGATTAATTAGAGGCGCGAATCTTAGGTGAGAGAAACAGAGACTGTTTTGTTTTGAAAAACTATTTATTCCAAATTGTGTGCTATTTTGAAAATAGGAACTGTTTTTCTAAAAAGAATCTCTTTTTTTTAATTAAAAAAAAACTTAAGGGTCAATTTATGGAATAATTTTGCAACATAAAAAAGGATGGAAAACCACTTACAAGGTAGACATCTTGGGTACAAAAAATGAAAATGTTTTGTGTCACAACACTTTGAGTACAACAATTCTCTTGGATGTTGACTCAAACACGCCATAGTTTTTGCATCCTCCATGTACATGTTGGTACATAAATTTTTATTCAAGTACATGCGAATTTTCATTTTGCTTCATTTGAAGGGGATGAAAAGGTTGCTATATTACTTTCTATATGTTCTTTTTAATGTTGAGTTGCTATATATCTTCGCATGTAAAAGTTGTCTGAGGATATAATGACATTATTTTATTTTTAGGTCTGCTAGGTTTCGAAATCTTTTGGTAATTCATCAAGTCCTTGTCTCAATCGTACTAGACCTTCCTACAAAAAATTTCAGGTCAGAGACTACTTATTCCTTCGTTATATTCAATTTACAAGATTCATTAATTAAGCTCATAAGCTACTACAATTTTGTATTTATGTTGTTTTTGGTTATGTTTGTAACATTTTGCCATTAGTTATCTCTGAATGCAATTTTTTTTAGTTTAGCCACTCCGCATAAATCAAGTCGAGGAACATGTTTGCATCTGGTCTATGGTTTCTATAGTTAAAACCATTTTTTTTTTCTCATATTCACATAGTAGTTTAATGTGAATATAGAAAAGAAATTAGATGATTGAATTGAATAACCGAGAGGTTTAATCATGGCGCATTGTTTCAGGTTGAGTACAGGTTTTGATCGAGAAGGCCGACCAATCAAAGTTGATGCCTCAGGTTGGCAGGCCCGTATTTTGCAGTATAAATGTGACCATCTAGAAAGAACCCTCTATGTTGGCAAGATGGTCCCCAGAACATTCAAGGTTGTAGAGAACTTGAGCTTACTTCTCCCTGCTGGGAGCCATTTTTTAGGGAACCTGTTGGGTTCCATATTCCCTTGGTGAGATGTAATATCAATGGAACTCTGTAATGCTTCAAACTATATTTGAAATGTTAGAAGCTAGAACACTTTTTTGAAGATGACAGATGAAGATTTGTATTTAAATTACAATTCGAGCAGATTGGAAATGTTGGAACTATACAGATGTCTTTGATGCATTTGGGTTGTACTTTGAAATAGTCTATAAGATGAGATCCATTTCTTTATGGTCACTTAGTGTGATTTTTAGTCGTCAGGACAGGTTTTTGTCCAAAGGAAAGCGAGTAATATCAATTTGTAGTTGCAAGGATGCTGTTTTCCGTCTTCAGGGGTGGGTGATGTCACTCTCCTAGGCCGAAGGCCATTTAGGTTGTTATAGTGAAGCGTCGTCGTGAAGTCTCGTCCGAAAAGGTTCTAACTAATTTGAAAATTACAACTCTTTTTCTCAACAACAGTAGGCCTAATGAAGAAATGCCTAACATTAAACTCGGCTTTTTTGTTGTTGTCTAACATTATGCCTAACATTATATTTACCAAAGTTTTGGAGTTCAGATAAATTGCCTCAGATCCTTTGTATACAATATTTCATCTTTAAAGTTATACACGTGCAATGTACGTGGACATCAACTAGTATATATATATATGCAGGTGAAGTAGGGTAGGAATATAAAAATTTAATAGGCATTCTGCATTCTTATCCGATTCCGTATTCCTACCCAGTTAACCAATCAATAAAGTTAGATAAGGTTGGATAGAGTTAAAAAATTGCCAGTAATTGAAAATTTGAACACCCCTAATGCAAACGCCCCTTGTCGTCAGCTTCGTTCAACATACCTTCATAATTGGATGACATCAACATCTTATTTTACATAAAATTTTCAAATTATCCATAAACATTTTTGATAAAATTTCAAGGAAAACCCAATAAATATAATTCTCCACTCACATCAAAGCTCTACCCACATTGCAACATCAGCCGCCCACCCACTCCTAAACCCATAGCCTACTGCTTTTCTTATCACCATCCCCACCACCGCATCACTGAACCCCGTGCCCCCAAACACACCCAAGCAAGGATGGAGCCATTAGTGGACTACCGCGGGGCGAAGCCCAAAGTGAAAAAAAAAAGTATTTTTTTGTTCATTTTGTCCTAATTATTTTCTTGATTTGTTATAGAACAAATTAGTAATTGAGGATGTTTTGAAGACCTTGAGTTACAGTTATTGAGTCGACAGTAAAAAGTATTTTTTGGTAACTCTCAAAGTATGTCTACAATTTCAAAATTATGTCGTGGTTTAGTAAAAACAAATAAAGCAGAGTCCTACAATTTAATTGATAGGTTGATTCGTCTTATTTTAACTCTTCCTGTTTCTACAGCAACTTCAAAAAGAGCATTTTCAGCCATGAAACATATCAAAAGTACTCTTCATAACAAGATGGAAGATAAGTATTTGACTGATTCATTAATTGTCTACATTGAAAGAGAAATAACGGAAACAATCGATACAGATTCAATAATAGATGCCTTTTATTCTAGGAAGGATCGAAGAGTCCAATTTCATTAGTAAGTGTTTATGAGTTTACATGTGTATTATTGTATATATGTTTTTGAGTTTATATTTGTATTTTGTTAGTCGTATGAATGTTTAACTTAGCCGGGAATAAACAAAAGTCTTGACTCCACCTTGCACCCAAGTTGATCAACCTCAACCTCTACCGCATTTGCAATAAAACCAACCCCCATTCTTTTCCTCTCCATCCAATCTTTCCGCCCTAAACCTCATATACCCATTGCTGCAAAACCACCAAAAAGTGTTTGGGGATAGAGCGAGAGATAAACACAGATGCACATTAGACCCAACTCCACCCCAATCCACCACCATCAAAACACCATACGCCTATATTTGCCACCATGTAGCCACCCCCAACCCTAGAATCTGCTACTAAAAACACCCAAGCCACCACTGCACCCCACATAAAAAAAAAAACCACAACAATCCAAACCCACTACATACATTACAGCCACTTCCCCCCCAAATTCTCAACTACAATACATTGGAGATACCACCACACCACACCCCATGCAACAGTTTGTAACTTCGTCACAAACCCACTGCCACCGCTGAAATCACACCTTTCTAATTCAACGTTCTCGAGATCACCTGATGAATGCGTGAAAGTGCATTCTAAATACCCTATTATTGTATTAAAATGTGAATAGAAATAATTAGATATAATTTATATTATTGAATTTAATATCTATTCACATTGACATATATTTGAACATGACTTTATAATATTTTAAATCTCAAATATTGTATTATTGGGTGGTGAGAGATAATTTATAAATAGACTTTACAAGTAATATTTTTTAAACTTTATTATTCGACTTTTATATTCATTTTTATTTTGATCTCAGCCCATAAAATAAAAAGACTGCATCTGACTAGCTGTCGTGGTGGACCTAACACTCAACAGATTTGGGCTTTATTCTTTTCGACATGGCTGAAATAGAAAGGCTCGAATAAAGAAGGGAGAAAAAAATATTTTTTCAAAAGGCCAAGACTTTTAGATCTTTTTGGGGCTTTGGCGGCTGGGATAAAAAAAAACAGGATGAAACAGAAGGCAGCGGCTATCTGGCCTGGGAGCAGACGCAGATCCGGGGAGGAGAAAAGCCCTATGACAACCAATTTACTCTATTTCTTTGGGAGATTTTTTGCTGTCTATTATATTTATGAGTAACTAAAATTTTAAGGTATTCTCAAGGTAGGGTGATGGATGAACTTGCACAATAGATAATATTTTATTTATTTTTAATTTATGTATTTGATTTTTAATTAGTAAAATTTTTTTATTTTTTTATTTTTAATTTATTGTTGATATTTTTTTCTCCGAATAATCATAAAATTTATTCTGTTTATGGATTTAGTCATGCTTTTTCAATTAAATGGATTAGATCTTTGATTATGTTTGGATTAATTATTTATCTATATTGATTTAATTCTTTATTACAATATTGTTTTATTGAGTATATTGTCGTCGTTAAATTTTCTCAATAGTAATAATAATTTACGTATTTTAAAAATAGTGAATGATTTTTCAAAGGGTTACATGTGATTTAATCTTGATTTATAAATCTATACCTTCCGATTGAGAATTTTGAAAATTGAGTTTTTAGTTGAGTTATTCAATGAATTAAGAATAATTAAAATATCATATTTGTGCAAGGAATTTCCAACGCTTTACTGTTTGTCAAATTTGAATATTTTTTTTGTTAGTCACTTTGCTTCACTTTGATTTGCATTTAAAATTAATTTTTGTTATCCAGTAATCATTTAATATTTTTCTTTAGTTTCTTTGTTTATCATATTATTCTTTTAATTTGTCTCTCCGTGAAATTGACACCTCAAAACTGTGCTACAATTACTGCGTTATTCTTTAGATGTAATCACCTCCTCAGACCCCTAGAACCCCCGCCACCATCAGATCCCACCCATGTATTCGTTGCAACCACCACATCACCAAGTTGAGAGAGTCAGAAGAGGTAAAAATTGTTCTTGTTCACTCTTCTGGAAGAGAGGGTTGTAGGCCGACTAAACAGTATTAAATAAAAAGCATGCCCTTTGAGTCCCAAATTTTTAAAAGGTCCAAATTTTTAGGTACATTACTAATCCATTAAAAAAAATAAATTATTTAAATTTTAAACCCTAAAAAAAGCCACCAAAATATTAAGTACAATTAATATTTTTATTGTAATAATTTGAGTCCATGATTCAATTCATAACATTAGAAATCTAAAAATTATAAATTAAAAAAAAATAAAAAGTAGTTAAAAGTCAACTCATTTTTATCTCTACTCTCTTTCTGTGTAAAAATTAGTACAAAATATTAAACAAAATTAAAATTAAACTCTCTTTCTGATAAAAAATAAAAATAAAAGTTAAAATATTTTTTTCAGTAACACTAGCACGTCTTTATTTGATCACTCATATAATAAATTAAAAATAAATTAATTTTTTAAAAAAATTAATACTAAAAATAAAAAAAACCTCATTTAGTATTTTTGCTATGAGCCTCCAATTACCTTAACAACCCCTGTGTTGCAGCGGGGCAGGGTGTGGAGGGAGAGCAAGCTATCATGATGCTTGCATAGAGAAGCCGAGGCAAAAGGGAAAAGGGGGATATTTTGTTTGTTTGGCGTTCGGGTCGGGTTGGTCTAGTCAATTTTGGATTTGAGTTTGGGTTATATCTAAATTTTATCAAGGGTAAAATAGACATTTTTGCAACAACTGTTAGGTCTATTAGCAAGCTGTTAGTGAAAGGTGGTCTCAGTGTAATTTTTTAAACGTGAGGGGGTCCGTCGAGTTAATCGGCCATTGAATTCCTAAAGGAAGTAATCATTATTTTTTTTTTCCCTTCTTTTCTAAAGCTCACAAATATCTGATGGCAGAGGCAGCACTTCAAGGAAAGAGAGTCGGAATGAAGAATTTCCACGAATCTCCAAGTAGAGATTTTCCAAGAAAATATCCCGGGAAAATTAGTAATCGCTGGAAATTAGTCCTACGTCTCCAGTAGTGCCGACCTCTCCAATCTCGATTCAAACAAACAATTCTCTTATTTAAATGGAGACGATTCTCGAAGGAGGATGTTTCTTTCTCTTTTCCCTTTAAAGAGGAAGGGTTAGAGAGACACTGATAGCGACACAGTGACGTTAATGGAAGTTACAATTTAGGGTTTATCATGAACTAGGATTTGTGCTTTGATTTTATATGCATTAATGTATAACTTTGTCACTATATGTATCGACAACTTTGCATTGAATTCAAACAAAAAGTTGAAATTCAAACCCCATGGGTTTACGTGTCCATTTCACGCCGTCTCTTTTCTCTACCTAAAAACGCGTCTCTCTCTACTCGCTTTGTGTGTGTGTGTGTGTGTGTGTGGGTGGGGGTGCGTGTGTTGTGAAACTTCCATCAAGCTTCTTCTAAAACCCATCTCTTCACCAGGTCTACTCAGCAGGTACGCGTTAATTTCATCGTTCTTTTTTCTGTTTCTCTCTCTTCCACATTGTTTGGTGAGGTTGGATCTTTATAAAAATATATACTGGTTTTGTAGTCTCTTTCATTTCTGTCTTTACGCGGTTGTTTCAGTTTAGTCAGTTAGTTTGAATAGAATCCTGGGAATCTCATAGGTATATGTCGTCCAGTCTTATTTAAATTAATAAAATGACAAGCCCAATGATCTTCCTAGTCTTGGCGAATTCGAAAAACCTATATATTCGACATATATCTATATATAAATGATATATTTTGTTATGATAGCTAAAGGGTTCTTCTTGTTGTGGTAGATGATC